GTGTGTGTGTGTGTGTGTGTGTGTGTGTGTGTGTGTGTGTGTGTGTGTTTTCAAGACAGAGTTTCCCTATACAGCAGCCCTGGCTGTCCTGGAGTTCACTCTGTAAACCAGGCTGGCCATGAACTCACAGAGATCCACCTGCCTCTGCCTCCCAAGTGCTGGGATTAAAGGTGTACACCATCACCGCCTGGCCGGAAGAAGACTTTTACTACAAATAAGACTTGCATTAAAATCATTGCCACTAATCATTTCACTCTCTCCTTTAGGAGAACGTGGAAGATGGTCGAGCAAGCATCTATCACTCCGTCATCACCAACACCAGCAAAGAAATGTCCTGCTTCAGCGACTTCCCAATGCCCGAGGATTTCCCCAACTTCCTGCACAATTCTAAACTCCTGGAATATTTCAGGATTTTTGCCAAGAAGTTCGATCTTCTCAAATACATTCAGTTTCAGGTACTGTGTGTGGTGGGAACTGGATTTCTCTGCCTTAATTCACACCTCCATGGAAGAGTGTCTCTGGCAGTGAAAGAACTTAGAATAGACTATCACACTTTGGTGGCTTTGTGGAAAGGTAAAAGCATGGTAAAACCGTTCGTTAAGACTGAAAGTTTAGATGAAGATGAAAAGCAATGTGAAAATATCATTTAAACCTGTACTTCAGTGACCTTTCTAAGCCTCGTTCCTCTGGATGGGCTGTCTGAATCAGAGTCGAATTGTCCTTGTTCTACATTCTCCACAGAAATGGGTTAAACACACTGTCCACCTTCCATTTGTCTCAGGTGTACCTAACTACTTTTTCATAATTTCTTTTCTTTTCTGTACATAATCTGCAGCAACAGAGGGACAAGCCAATCGTCTTGAGTTATACTTGAAATTACCATTTCCTGTACTTTCTACAAAGAGGAACAAGGAAACATGTTACCATTAAGCACGGAGCACTGTTCAAGTTGAAATTGCTTTTCTGAACAAACAACTCAATGGGGCTCATTTTCAAGGCATTTCACGTCCTTAGCAACTTTGACTTTGTGAGCACCAGGCTTGTGTTGTGTTCACATTTGCATAACAGCTTACCTTCATGGAAATCTGTATTTGTAAATACTGTTGAAACGCCCACTTTTAGGGACTTGTTAAGTCCATTTTAGGGACAGCTTCATGTCCATTTAGAGAATCTCCTGTGGTTTCCCCTCCAATCCCTGGTAGCGCCATCCCATGAGTAGCAGTCTTCTAAGGATATCCTCAGTGCTTGCCTGCCAAAGGAACAAGAAGGGCCCGCTTGACAAAGTTTGCTGGTAGCGGACTCAAGAAAATCTAGTGGATTACCTATTACACTTGCCCCATCCTTACTTCCAGGGTCCTGGCAGAGTAATTAATGAGGCCTTCTCTGTGTTTGTTCAAGACCACCGTCATTAGTGTGAAAAGACGCCCAGATTTTGCATCTTCTGGGCAGTGGGAAGTTCATACTCAGAGCAATGGCAAGGAGCAGCATGCTGTCTTTGATGCAGTTATGGTTTGCAGCGGCCATCACATCCAACCTCACCTGCCGCTGAATTCATTTCCAGGTGAGGCTTCAGCTGAGGCTTCTCAGCATGGCAGCGCAGGCCTCCGGGAATCTCGCATGGAGTTCAGACAGACAGGCGGGATTGGCTGCTGTGAATGGGGGTGGTAATATGATTGAGGTACAGCTGGGGAGCGGAAGCATGCCAGACACCATCTTTGCTTCTATTGCTTCTTCTGAATCTTCAAACATAGCTCAGCTAACTTCCTCCAGGATCATTACATTTTCCCCAGCAATTCAAAGGATTCACACAAACATGCCTTCCCTATAAGAGGACCTCCATACACGCCTGCCTTAATTGTTCTGTCCTGCCAACCCCATGGAAATTTACTACATCCCTGGGGCCTTTTCTACCGTCCAAGGATTGCTAGAGAGAATTCCTGGAAGTACACACTGAGGCGGGACAGAGATGAGCGGGAGGAACGTGGGAGCAGATGCCTGAGGCCAGCTGTCATGTCGTCCCAGCCTTCCCTCTGAGAAAACTTCCTAGTCAAGAATCGATCGTCCCCTATATGAGGACTCACAAAGAGCATTCCCTTCCCAGAACCCTCTGGGAAAGTGGCTGACACAGTGGGTCACAATCAGGCTTCATATGAGAACTGCCCACACTAAAAGCAAAGAATACTTTAATAAGGCCACATGTCACTGGGAAGTATAGAAGGGGTGAATAGGGAGAACACAAATGGTTAGCAATCAAATGGCCATTCAAGGAGCAACTTCTGTAGGCCTGGGTTTAGTCTTTTAGTTATTTGCTTTTGCAAAATGATAAGCACTATTCTAATTATTGCACAATTACAATAACACTATTTCCAAAGAGCTCTTAAATGTATCGATGATGTGAAACTAGAGCGTCATTAGACTGCCCCAAACAGAATAGCTAGTGAGATGTCAGCATCACGTCGTGATCTGCACAGCAAAGCCATTTGTTTGCCACTGGTGAATACACATACTCCAGTCTCTCACATGGACCTAATTTTTCGTAAGGAATTTTATTTAGAGTTTGATATTTGACTATTGTAACTCCTGTAAAAGGAGGAGGTGAGAATTCAAAAAGGGAAAACTGATCGTGCTGTTTTATTGGCATTAACTTGTCCTCATTGTTTACTTGGAAGGTCACAGTTTCCCTCTTCTTCCTCCCACAGGTATCGAGAAGTTCAAAGGCCAATATTTCCATAGCCGTCAATACAAGCACCCTGCTGGCTTTGAGGGAAAACGCATCCTGGTGGTTGGAATAGGAAACTCAGCCATAGATATTGCCTCTGAGCTGAGTAAGAAGGCCTCACAGGTGCAATGCTTTTGCTTCTCTTGTGCTGTGTGGAAGGGGTGGGGAGAGACCACTGGGGCACCCAGCTGTACCCCAAAGGTCTATTGAGTGATAGGTGAATGCCTGTTGTAACAGCATAGGAAACCTGGAAGCCAGGAAGCCAGAGTCTAAACCCCGCCTCGGCTGATAACTAGTCCTGTGTCGTAGAACCAATTGCTCCACTTCTCAGAGCTGTAGTGCCTTGGGGTTTTTTTTTTTTAATGGGATGTTTCAATTAGATATTTCTGGTACAGAAAGCCTACTTTTTATCTAAGTCGCCTAATGAGAAACTGACCTGTTAATGTTTGTTTATTTGTTTGAGACAGGGTTTCTCTGTGTAGCCCTGACTGTCTTGGAACTTGCTCTATAGACCAGGCTAGCCTCAAACTCAGAGAGCTGCCTGACTCTACTTCCCAAATTCTGGGATTCCAGGCATGCACCAACATGCATGGCCTTAATATTTTAAGAACCCGCTTTTAGAGATGTAGTTCATGGGCCAAGCTATATATAGCTCAGTTAGAAAAGTGCTTGTTTAACAGACCTGAAGACCTGACTTTGAACCCTAGAACCCACATTGTTTTAAAACCATGTGTGATTGCACACAGTTGTAATCCCAGGGTTGGGGACATAGACAGAGGTAAACACCATAGGTTTGTTAGCCAGGAGCCTATCTATTGGCAAGCTCCAGTCCGGTGAGATGCCTTGTCTCAAATAGATAGAGAGATAGTTGATGATAGATAGATAGATAGATAGACAGACAGACTGAGAGATAGATAGATAGATCACTGTCATCTTTCACTTTTCAAAGCTTTCAAGCCTTGACATAAAGAACAAGTAAAGAGGCAATAAACGAAAATTTGAAACACAGTAGAAAGAGGCAGGAACCACCAGTTGCCAGCTCCTCCATGCTGGAAACACCTCTAAAACTCGAGAGGAAGAGAATGCAGTAAGACAGGAGGAAAGGAACTGAGTTATCTTCGCTGTCAGCCAAGTAAAGAGCCATCCAAGGCCAATCAATGCATGTGATGGGTCAGTGATTTGGACTTAGAACAGATGTCCCAGAGATTCAAATATTGAATCTCATGAGCTATTTCTTTATAAGGTCATTCCATGTCAACAAGCCTAAGTATTGGCCAAATTTAATACCAAGCAGCTACTTTGGCTCTGTACCTGTGCCTTGTAAGTCATTAGTCTTTTACATAGAGCCTTTCTTCAATATTTATTAATCACATAAGTATAAAAATAAAACAGAATAGTAAGTTCACAGATCTTCACATCTGGACCTGAAAGTTAGCTTCTCAAAGATGGCAACCTGAACCTTGACCCTCACATAGATCACAGTCTTCATCTAGGTTAATTTCTCTGCAACAAAGTGGTCACAACAGAAAGAAAACAAATAAAATGGAAAACCCAGTGTTGATCCTACCAAAGGAGAGATAGAAAATAATAGGAAGAGATGGTGATGAAACATTTAAAGGGAATATCCAATACCTACTACAAGTATTTTCAAGTCTGTCTAAGAGCAACAGCAGGAGCACATTGGGACATAAGCATATGGCCCACACACAGACCAAGGATACAGCCATGCTTGGGTATGTGATACTTCACAAGCTTAGGTAGGACTGGTGTCCTTTCCCCAAAAAGCTGTAATGCCTCCTCCAAGGTCAATCTATAAAACAATGAGGGTTTGTATGTGCTTGTACTTCACAGTACATCAGTAACTTCCTGTAACTTGTACAGTAATGTCCCAAGACAGATGCTATACTGCCTACTCTAAAAAAGAGAGAAAAGAAAAGCAGAGAGTAACCCAAAGAACTCACCAAGGCTACTCAGCTCATAGGTAGTGGGATTGAGTTTCAAACCCAGGGAGTCTGGATCCAGTGTCCATGACCTAAACCTCTTGGTTTAAATTTAAATTGGATACCTTGAAAATGAGTCTTGTTTATTTATTGAAGATATTAACAGAACTAATAAGATGAGACAAAAGTTTGGGAAGCTGAAATGATGCATTTGGACCATGGGAAGACAACAGTAAAAAGGAGAACACATCTTTGACAATATAAATGGATGTATTAGAAACAAATTTTAATATGAAAGGCAAAGAATACATACAACAACAACAATGAATGAAAAAGAGGCCTTCAGTTTGAAAGATAGTGGGATCAGAGTGTATGTGGGAGGAACTGGAGAGAGGACAAAGAAGAGGAAATGATAGTTATAATCTCAAACATATAAACATAATTTTTAAAAAGACGTGTATTGAAAAGGAAAAAAGCCACAGCACACAGACAGAGGTTTTAACTTTTAAAACACGTAATTTTCTTTTAAGTCTGGAAAGAGGTGGTTGCTCTTCCTATTTACCATCCAGAGATACTGAGATCCACGCATGCATGCCTGCAGCCATGACACAGTAGGCACACGTTTGCAATGCCTGTGATTATCTACCAAGTCTCCTTGGGTAGGCACAGTGAAAGGACAGTGGAGCTGTTTCTCAGGGAGCAACAGAGCACATCTGTAAACACCGGAGAGGTTGGTCAACTGACCATGAGAATTAGTCCAAAGACTTTTCTTATATCTCCAGAATACTATCAGGGCTTTGATGCACTCTGCTCTCAGGGCAAGTTACTGGACAGTCCTCGTCAGGTCATAGCTGCCAAAGAGAAGTGAAAAGGCTAAGAGGACCTCGCTTTGACAATAAATACTCTTAAAATGAAACCTGAGGGCTGGGACGGCATCTCAGCAGATAAAGTGATTTCTTCACAAGCAGAGGACCTAGACTTGACCCCAGAACAAGAGGGAGAAGTGGGGGAAAGGAAATGACTGAAATTTATTATTATATAAATGTATTTGGCTATTAAACAGTGAAAGAGAGAGAAGAAACAAACAAAGAAGAAAGGAAGAGATGGGGGAGGCAAAAGAGAGGAAGAAAGGCAGATAGGTAGGTAAAAGCATCAGGTTTGATGGTGCATGCTTCCAGTTCTAGAGAAGCAAATGGAGGCAGATTCCTGGGCACTGGACAGTCAGCCTATCCTAGTTGATGAGCTCCAGGCCAATGAGAAACCCTGTCTTAAATGAAAACCAAGATGGATAACACCAGGGATGATACTCAAGGTTGACCTCTGGCATCCTTATACATCATTATACATGCGTACACACATGTATATATACACATACTCACACACACCAACATACATGAACACACATACACTGCACACAAATTAACAAAATAAATAGAACTCAGTAAACTGCCACCAAACATCTTTCCTATCACCTGTACAAGAGAGTCCTCCCAAAGGGCCAAAACCCATCCCTTCAGCTGTACTCCTGTCTGTTTGCCAGGTGTTTATCAGCACCAGACATGGTGCCTGGGTCATGAGCCGGATCTCTGAAGATGGCTACCCTTGGGACATGGTGTTCCACACTAGATTTAGCTCCATGCTCCGAAATGTCCTGCCACGCACTATCGTCAAGTGGATGATGGAGCAACAGATGAATCGATGGTTCAACCACGAAAATTATGGTCTGGTGCCTCAAAACAAGTAACGTTATTTTTCTTTTTCTGGTGTACTTATTACAGGCAAGGCTGTCTGATGCTGCCTTTCTTTGCAAAGATCTGATTTGCTAGCATGGTAGTGCAAGCTATAACCCAGCAACATGTGTGGTGATCATACTGGTCCTGGGGTCTTGGTTCCAAATTTGTACTATGTGTCTTAAAAAAAAAAAACAGAAAAAAAAAACTTAAGAGTATGGGTAGGAGTGTAGAAGCTGCTCCAGAAAGCAGGAAAGCAGGGTTAGAACTGATTGGAAGAACTCTCTGACAGTTTGGAGAAGGCTCTTCAAGAAGACTGTGATCTTCTTGGGGCACTGTGATGCTGAAGTGATGTGATGGGATGGGTCAAGAGAGTTCTTCATCTGGTAACTCAGTCTTTGCTGCTCCTATGCACTGAAGGCTGTTCCCATGAGAACATATTCCTTTCTCGTGGCCAAAGACAAATATTTGCTGATATCAAAGTCACACATCTTGGATACTGTAAGCACAAGTACACAGTGTGGATGTTTACCCTCCTTCAGTTGATAGCAGCCTCCCTCCTGGTCCCAGGGGGATAGTTAGAGTCTTGTAAAGAGATGTTCCATTATGCTGAATTAAGAATCCAGCTATATGTCATAGATTGCCTTATGTTTTAAAACAAAGAAAATGGTTTACAAACCAAGAGCTCCAGAGATACAAGCAGACTTAGTTCCACCGCCCATGCCGCCACAGACAGAGTTCCTGTGGATACTGGGGTCAGTAAATATCAGCAACTCCCATTTTGTGCATAGATTCTCACACTGATCCCTCAGTTGGTCTCGGTGCTAATGTAGTATGTTTCCCCTTATTTATGATAGGGTAGAGATTAAACGAAACTACAAAATAATGAAAAACATTTAGCATAAAAAGTGAGAGAGGTACCACAGGGAACAATTAGCAGCGAACTCAAAATTAACAATGGGTGCTGACATCACGTCTGAGCCCCTGAGGCGCTTCCAACTGCAGGGTTTTGTTGTTGTTACTGCTGTTATTTTGTTTTGTTTTGTTTTTTACTTTTATCACCTACTTGTTTTTATTTGTTTATCAAATGAAGAGATGGTCAGTGTTAGGCTGAGGCCAGTGACAAAGTTTGGGGCCAACAAAACAGTTGAGTTGGAGTTTGATGGACGTTTGGGAAACTCCTATGTTTTTCAGAGTCACCCCTAAAGCTGTCAAGCGGGTTGAAGATTCCTCAAAGATTGCTCTGAGTGTGTTCTTTCCTCTTGTGCCTCAGATACCTTCTGAAAGAACCTGTGCTGAATGACGACCTTCCCAGCCGCCTGCTGTATGGACTCGTCAAGGTGAAAACCAAAGTGAAGGAGCTCACGGAGACAGCTGCCGTTTTCGAGGACGGCACGGTGGAGGAGGACATTGATGTCATTGTCTTTGCCACGGGCTATACTTTCTCTTTTCCATTCCTTGAAGATTCGCTTGTGAAAGTGGAGGGTAACAGAGTCCCGCTGTACAAATACATGTTCCCTCCTCAACTGGAAAAGCCAACCCTTGCGTGCATGGGGCTCATCCAACCTCTAGGCTCCATCTTCCCAACTGTGGAGCTGCAGGCACGTTGGGCGACAAGAGTTTTCAAAGGTGAGTGGGCTGCTCAACCAAGCGGAGCTTTTACATTTTTCCCCTTAATTTGTGAGACTTTATTTACTGGAGGGGCGGCAGCTCTGCGGTGGCCCTCAAACGACAGCTCCTCTACGGGCAGTTGGTTCTCTGCTGCCACCTTGTGGGACCCGGAGACAGAGCTCAGATAGTCGGGCCTGCACACTAGCATGGCTCTCTCTACCCGCTGAGCCATATCTCAGGGAGACAAAGTTTTACATTTTTTTTTTTAAAGGTTTGTCTCTTCCCATTTGTGCAGCATGTCACCTTCCCTGAAAGGCTATTTTTTTCCTGCTTCTGGGGTTCATTTCTGTTCAACAAAAGCCTCATTTACCACCAAGCCTGTGCTGGGATCTGGTCAGCCAGAAAGAAATGTCAGTAAGTTGTTTTAGTAACGCGGCAAGTGCTTTGGTGGCAGAACGTGTACTATAGCCCAGAAAGGAACTTGGTGTGATGGCACAAGGTCCAGGACAGTTTCCTGATGTCTGAGTTTCTCAGGTACAGAGAAGGGTTTGCCTGAGCGAAAGACACAGAGTCAGGATGTCTGTGGAGAACTGTGAGACCCACATTACCGTTATGTGAGGTGGAACAGGACGGGAGGTTAATCTTAAAGAATGACAGATGGATACAAAAGCTTTGTATATTTTGTTAGGGATCCTGGATTATAAAATGTAAATGTTCAGACAGCAGTGAGGTTTTGCTTTGTTTTCTCTCTTGTTCTGTGTTTTATTTTTATTTTATGTTTTTTATTTTGTTTTCCAACAGGGGAGCGAGAATGTATCTAATGTAATCAAGGCTATCCTCAAACTTGTTATGTAACCAAGGCTAGCCTTGAACTCCAGATCTCCTGTTTCCACCTTTCAAGTATTTCCAGACCTATAATTTCAGTACTCTAGAGTCAGGAGGACAGATGAGACTTTAATGACATCATGGGCCACGCAGCAAGTTCAGTCTAGTTAGGGCTTCTAACCAGACTTTCTCGGAAGGACAAGAGGGAGGGAGGAAGAGGGGCGAGAGAAGGAGAGAGGGAAGGAGGGAGGGAAAAAGTAGGAAAATGCAAATATAAATCATTCCTACACAAATCTAGTGCTCCTAAGAACCTTCTAGCTGATCCTTAGGGAGCCATCCTGATTAAGTCTGGCCTCCAAACCTGGAATCTATACCTTAGAACGCTCTTTAGCCAGAGGCACCAGTGAGGAGGTATCCTCAAAGACTTGGAAGTGTCTACTTCACAGTTCACATAGTTCCACCAGTTGTTTGGAACAGAGATTTAAAACTCAGGGATCGAGACTTGATGGTCACTGAGAAACTCCAGCACTCACCTGGGCCAAAATACAGTGCAGCCTGGGCCAGAACTGAGAGACGAAATGGAAAGGAGAACATACATGTTGGAGACAGTCAGGGGCAAAGCCAGCAGGGCCAGGACGTGCTAGAGGGCCAAACACAGGAAAGGAGAGGCTTACAGGACTGGAGGCTGGAGAGATGGCTGGGCCTGAGAATAGAGACAGGAGGGTCTCAAAGGCAAACTCAGCTTTGGACTTAAGTCCCAGATGCTAGATGACTTGCCATGTTTCCCCTCTGAAGCTCACAGGACCCTTGAGTACCGGGGACAGGCTCCCCCACACAGTGGGCATTGCACTATATTGACTAACCCAACTGCCCTTGTTAGTTGGGGCCACTCTCATCTTCACCAGATCTCCTTCCACAGCCTTTTACCTGATCTCCCTAATTGTAAGTTCCCCTCTCGTGGGCCCTCTTTCCTTAACCGAAGAGCCAAACGGATCTTTCCAAAGGGCAAGTTCAGCCTTGTTGCCTCACACAGCAAAGTCTTCTCCAGGGTCCTGTCAGTGCCAGTATAGAACCCACCCAGCTGGCATCGTTTCTCAAGCATGCTTCCCTTCTTCAGCCCTTTCTCTGACCTCTCCGGTTCACAGTTGATGCCATTGGCTATGATCCACTATGAAATTCTCACCCCTGGAGCTCAGAAGCACAGAGGTCCTGCCTCTATGATGTGACGAAATGGCCGCAACTTAATTTTAGAAAACAACTACTTTACGAATCAATGATATCAAATCAAACTCACTATTCAAAGCAAATTTGTTTTCATTTTTGTTTTCCAGGCTTGTGTAATTTGCCCTCAGAGACGACTATGAAGGTGGACATTGTTGAAAGGAATGAAAAGAAAATTGACCTGTAAGCAATTTCCTTACAAAGAAAAAATGTTTATATAGAATAGTGTGTCACAAAGTACCATGATCTGACTGCCTAAGAGAGACAGCGAGGTGTTGAAGTGCAGTCCTGGACCACAGCCCAGTACAAATGGATCAGTTCTGTAGATAAGACTGGAAGTGTGTAATTTGATGATTTTTTTCATATTATTCTTAGGCATCCTGATTTAATGACTCATAACTTAAAAAAACAAAAAGGAAGAGAGAAAGGAAGGAAGGAAGGGAGGGAGGGAGGGAGGGAGGGAGGGAGGGAGAGAGAGAGAGAGAGAGAGAGAAAGAGAAAGAGAGAAAGAAAGAGTACCAATTCAGAGTATCTTTCCTTGGGTTAATCTTATTCCTTTTTTCTATGATGCCCGTGTTGGACTCCACATCCCCTCAGGCCACCCACACCCAGGGATGGGATGAGGCAGTGGCAGTCACCGCAGCCTGAGGCACTCTCAAGCCTCTGGCTTGTCAGTTTTGTTGAGATGAAAACGGGTTTGACAGTGATCAATACTCTGGCATCACTGACTCGAGACCTTCCAGACAGAAGGCGTCATCTCCTGTGCAGATTTTAATCCATCTAACATAGGTTGAGTATCCAGCGCATGCCAGTCAGACTACAGTGTGCTTTAACAGTAAACCAGGAGTACTGTGCATCCGTTCTCTAGAAGACACTACCTCTCTGATACTGCATTGATTTGTATCAATCCTGAGACATACAATCTTACTTGGAGATAGACAGCAGCTTAATAAGTAATAAATAATCACCATTTCAACATCGTTACATTTCTAGAATCTCCGTGGATCTGTCTGTTTACTTTGTAGCGTACTCATCAATCTGAGATATGGGCCTCGTAATGGAGCCCCCCAGACATTCATTCAAAGCTCATACCTTCATGCATTCATGCTGTTCTTTAAACAGCCACTGAGTACCTCAGATTAAGACATAACTTTTATGAATCTGCTTTTTTATTTACTTCATTAAGGTTTGGAAAAAGCCAGAGCCAGACACTGCAGACCAATTACATTGACTACCTGGATGAACTTGCCTTGGAGATAGGTGTGAAGCCAGATTTCGTCTCTCTGTTCTTCAAAGACCCTAAACTGGCTGTCAAACTCTACTTTGGGCCCTGCAATTCCTACCAGTACCGCCTAGTTGGACCTGGCCAGTGGGAAGGAGCCAGGAATGCCATCCTCACCCAGAAGCAGAGGATCCTGAAGCCCTTAAAGACCCGCACTCTGGAGTCTTCATCCAGCATCCCAGTATCTTTCCTGCTCAAAATCCTGGGGCTCTTGGCTGTTCTTCTGGCCTTCTTTTTCCAACTTCAGTAGTTCTAATCTGTCAGCATGACACTTTTGTCCGTCAGTGTCTCTCATTCATCAGTGTCTCTTTGCAAAAACAACTGAAGAAATTACATCTACATTAGAGTTTTTACAATTCAGGGGAACAAGTGGGAGAAGGAATTGTAGGGAGAGCAGAAGAATTAGGTCTAGATATAAAACTGAAATGAAGGTCTTGGAATATCTTTTGCATTCTACTCTTTCCTCAAATTCATCAGTCTCCAAACAGTATTATACAATGACACCAGCACAGGTAGACAGTGCTTCCAGGCACAGAAGGTTTCAAGTTATATGGAAAAAAAATTATGCAGAACAAAAAGCAAGTCATAGCTGGGCGTGTTGGCTCATGCACTTGAGAGGCAGAAAGTAATTGAGAGACCGAGGCAGGCAGATCTCTTTGAGTTTGAAGACGGACTGGTTAACGTAGCAAGTTCCAGGAGAGGAAGGACTACATAGAGAGATCCTATCTCAAAAAAAAAAAAAAAAAAAAAGAAGTCACATAGGTTAGATTACTGAACAATTTAATTTTAAACTGTGGTAACATTTCATATCCTGCTCACTGAGCTCCATGCTATTTTTATGCAGACTCTGGTCACAGTTCCCAAGTATTATGGTCTGCTCTGTTGGCTTGATGAGGGATCACTCACTCAGAAATACTGGTGGACAAAACTGAGACGATAGACCAAAAGCAACTACTTTAAGTGATTCACATTGCGAGCTAAGCAAATTGACTCGGTTCCTGTATATTGACAGAAACACTAAAGCAAACATGAAAATAATGTACCCTAGCTACAACATAGAGTTAGCTGTTGTATCTCACAGATTAGACATTGTGCTGTGTGTACATCTTATATATTGCTTTATTTAATTCTCACAGCAACTATGAGATGGGTTGAACTATAATACCCATTCTGTAGATGGTGCTGCGTTGACAGACAGTTAAGGAGCATGCCCTTAGCCACTGGCCTTGAGATGAAGTTTCAATTGGAGCCCAGTTCGTTGAACCCTGAAACTAAAGGTCATAACCTCACCACGTAATATACTTGTTTATTAAAACCTCTGCTTTTGATAAAGTACTTACTAATAGTTTATTCTATTCGTTATAAGATTAGACCATAATTCTATTCATTAGCATAAAGCTTTCTAAAACCATTGTAGAAAATGGCACTTTTCTTGCAAATCCATCTGACTAATTTTATTTACAATACTAGCTCTCTATTTCAGCTAGATTGTAAATAACACACGAGCTGGAGGCAATGGTACAGACCTTTAATCCCAGCACTCTGGAGTCAGGTGGATCTCTGTGAGCTTGAGGCCAGACTGGTCTACATAGCAAATTCTGGGCCAGCCAGGGCTATATAGTGATACCCTGTCTCAAAAGAAAAAAAGAAATTGAAGAGATCTAAAATGAAAAATATGTATGCAATAATACTTAAAATAATGATCACATTTTGAGAAAATAAGAATTGAACTAAAGTATATCTGCCAAGCCGGCACAAAATGTTCCAGTGGTTGAGCCTGTGTCCAGCATTAGCATTATAGGTAAGCAAGACAAATCTCAGCGATGTATTATCTATGCCATCTGATGAAAGGGGGTGTGTCAGTTGTGAGAGACATTTCCTTTGAACTGAAAACTAAAGGAGACACAAGCAATCAATGCCAACAAACATTGGGCAACATAACAAACACCAAGCCACAGACTCTCCTGAGAGCAATTCTTTTCATGAACCGCTCTGTGGGAGATGAGCTACACCCGGACACCAAACCAGTGTCCCTGAAGAGAGGACAAAGGTTGAGATATTGAAGGCGTAGGTAAATAGTTCTTCTTTGTCCCTCTGAACCCTCTGTGAACACTAATCTTAAACCTCAACCAAGCTCTCGTTCTCATTCCCCCACCCCGCTGTCTTCCCAGTTTAATGGCAGTCTCTCCCAGTAGAAAGAGCTTTCTTTAAACTCCACTGAACTGGGATGCAGAATCTGCCCAGCTGGTAACGTGTTTGCCTTGTAAGTATAAGAATCTGAGTTTGAGCCCTAGAACTCACATTATAAAGCCAAGGGTTTATAGCACATACTTCTAATCCCAGCACTGAGGAAGGATCCCTGACCAGTCAGCCTAGTCTGTTTTAGTGAGTTCCAGGCCAGCGAGACACCCTGTCTCAAAAGCACAAAAGTGAGCAATGAATTGCCTGAGGAACAATACCAGAGTCTGACCTCTGAACACGAACACACACATGTTCAAATACACATATATGTACCCCTGCACACACACATGCAAGTGCACATGCTTAAGCACACACAAACACTTATAGGCATACACACACATACAAAAGTTCACTGAAATTATGCCACTTCACTGATTTGCACGTAAGACTTCTTACTGTACTTATAAGCCAATTACTTTCAAAAATTACAAATGAAATTCATCATATGCATATATAAAGTTATAAAACAAAAATTTTTAAATAAAAATTACAAATGAAATACATATATATATATATATATATATATATATATATATATATTCTTATTTCTTGATGAAGAGCGAGAGGATTTGTTGTGTCGGGCAAGATGGCTCAGCAGGTAGAGGAATTTGCCACCCTGCTTGATGACCTGAGTTCAAGTCACAGGACCCACGTGGTGGAAGGAGAGAACCTATGCTTGCAAGTTGTCCTCTGACCTCTGTGCGAGCAGTTATACACAATAAATAAACAAGTAAAATGCAGAAAAAAATAAATAAAAGCAGATTATCTTGTCAAGTCTTAAAAATTCTTTTCAAATCATGATGTTAAACTGCCGACCTGAAGAGCAAAAATCAGCAAGCTACCGTGTGTGGACCAAAGCATCAGTTCTTATGGTGGTTTTTTCAGGACACAGACAAACCCACTCATTTATTGCCCTTTCTTCTGTGCTCTAATGGCAGAATGGAGCATTTACGACAGAGCAAGTGTGGGGGCCACAACCCCTAAGATCCTTCCTGTCTGACCCTTTGCAGAAAGCATGCCCACCCTGCCCTACACGTGCCAGGCAGAGCTCATTTTGCCATGGCCACTGCCCACTGAAGCAGCTTTGCCTGCCATCCTGCTTCTACAGTGAAAGAGATGAGGAACACCTGTTAGACTGGTGCTCAGCCACTGGGGAGGATCGGTGTCACTAAGACAAAATTATTATTAAATTAACAGCATTGAAAATTTCACAAATCTCTTAAACTTTTTGCAAATCTTCTGATAATCAGTTTTCAGCAGCAGCTCCCTAGAGAGGAAAAGGCCTCTGGTACATCACCCGGTTGTCCTCTGCCTCTGTGCATCTTGAACATGAAGCTTCCCCGGACCAACTTTCTAAAGCTGTTTGCTCCAAACCACTGTCCAGAGACCACCTACTTCAGAGACCCTCACAGTGCACAAATGGATATGACCTTATAGCTTTTATAACATAAACAACAATAACCTGCTCGATCAGAATCTCTGCTGTTTCAAAAATCTCCTGTGCACATAGACTTGGGAGCCGCGAGTGTGGAAAGAAGGAACATGGGCTGTGTGTGTGCACGCGCGTGGGGGGGGGGGAGAGAGAGAGAGAGAGAGAGAAAGAGAGAGAGAGAGAGAGAGAGAGAGAGAGAGAGAGAGAGATAAGGGAGGGGAGAGCAGACAGGCTGGCTGTTTTTTAACCAGGTGTGGTAACACACACCTGTAATCCTGGGACTCAGAAGGCTGGGACAGAGAGATAACATGTTTGAGACCAGGCTGGGCTACATATCAAGACAATGACTCACAATAGGGAGAAAAAAATGGGGGAGGGGCGAGGAGAGGTAGGAGAGAAGAGGGGAAGAAAGAGAAGGGAAGGGAAAGGGACTGAAGGGGTAAAAAAAAATCTTCCTTTCAGGGCTGAGTCCCTGGCCTGATCTCTCTTCCAGCCAAATGCCTCCTCCCTGTTTGATGCTTCCTGCTGCAGTCGGCAGAAATTGTTCTTCTGAACAAAATGTGCACTGGCTCCCACTCCCCTCCAAACCCCTCCCCAAGAGGATTCTCCTTACTAATCTTTCCTTTAACTCTCCTCTGCATGAGAGCTCTTTGGTTTTCTCCATCAAAACCAGATGTACCACATTTGTTTTGTGCAGAAAAGCAAAGATATTGTTCAAGTGAACTACCCAGGCCATGACATGTAAAAGAATTTCAAACAATCATCCCAAAATATGAAGGTTTTGAAAGTTTAACCCAGAGGAATAGTTTTCTTTGAAGCCAGCCTTTCACCCTGGAGGCTGCTCCTGACCTGGAACAGCTTTGGCTTGCTTCCAGGAGCTACAGTGTGCTCACACGAAGCAAGACTCACTTGTCCACCCTGCCCTATGACCCAGGAATAGATCAAAGAGCTAATGCAAGGTCTCTTAGGATAAGACTCTTCTCAATCAAGATGAAACATACAAGGTTTTATTAAGGAAAATATCTGTGTCAGCAAATAAGAGGAGAGCCTGGGACGACTGCAAGAGTTATTGGCCCACAGTGCAAGGTCCGTCCTCTGTGAAGGAGAGAAGGAAGAGAGGCAAACAGTGCAGACTACAATGTAAGGGAGAGTCCTCCGGCCACAGAGTTGTCAGGTTGTGTGAAAGGCCCAGAAGAGCCGGCATTTCTGCCCTGTGAATCCAAACAAACCATCACAGGGACTGGCCACCCTACTGTGGGGTGACAAGTGTACTTCTGAAGTTGCCAAATATAACTTAATTAGATACCTAACTGGAAACACTACAAATTCTGGGGCAGGATTCTGTTTACAATCAATGAGGAATTTTGTTGCTAAATAGTTCTATACTTGAAGTCGTTGGCAGGTAGAAGATAGAAGATTATATAAAGGCATCAGTTTCTCTTGGTGTTGAACCATTTCAAGGTTCATCAATCTTTGGGACCTGGGTGAAATACTCAGAGCCATTGTATATTATAAATGCTTCAATTTTACATAATTATATTTAGTTATAGCAGTCTGTCGTAAGACTGCCATCAAAGTAAATTCCTTCGCCCAAGTCATGTGACCTGCGTGGGCTCATTGGTTTTCACAGCCAGGATCACCCACTCTCAAGTCTTTACTATGTGAAGGTACACAGAATAACAAAGCCATTATATCTTTGTATTTTCCAAGAACTGCCTAAAATCCAAAATTAACATCATATCAATCAGCTGATTTCATCTCTACACATCAAAGAGGGAAATGAAGGGCAGGTTGTCAAGAAAAATTTTAGAATGACTTTAATATGTCTGATATCATAGAATAAAAGTGTATTGACGTACATAGCCTCCATTCTGCAGACAGGTTCTCACAGGAAAAACATAGAATAACCTCAATGTGTAACAGCCTTAGAGTATTGGCTCCTGTTAAGGATACATGGTTTCTTAGTAAAGCACGGGAAAGGTACTTTGTGTGGAGGGGTTGAGGAATGGGGAACTGCGTAGATTTGAACATTGTTTTTTGCATGGCTCAAAAGGAAAGCAGTATACTGCGTAGGTCTAAACTGCCCTGTGCAGTTTCCCAGTCCTAAAATTCTGTGTCTCTAAGAATGAATCAAAGTGGGAGACAGAAAGGAGATTTAAGACAATAAGATGGAGAAATGACTCACCAGTTAAAATCAAGTACTGATCTTGCAGAGGACCTGAATCTAGTTCCCAACACCCACATAGGATAACTTACAACTTCTTGTAACTCCAGCTCCAGGGGATTGGGCGCCTGCACTCACCTGTGCACATACTCAAATACATAATTAAAAATAAAAATAATTTTTTAAATTAAAATGGTTTCTAGATATAATAATTGTTCCAGCCAACAACGTACTAACACTTTGGTTAGTGGTGATAGGGCACAATTTGTTAACTGCAATCAGCAAATCTCCACACTTGGAAACAAAATAAAATTTTTCTTAGACATAGGGGGTCTTTTGGTGATGTCTTAGAACTTCTTAATCACTATGTTATCCAAAACAGAAGAACATCTTTCTTGAAAAATCAATGGTTACCGTGCTGAAGACAAAGGAAGCCATGTGGGAGCTTGTTCTGTGATTTTAGTGCCGTGGCCCAGAAGAACATATTTTGTTTATTTGTTTGTTTTTTCAGAAGGACATATACTACCTTTGACTCATAGTTATTCAGGCAGAATAATTACGTTTCCAACAAGCCACTGGGGGTCCATGCAGTGCAAATCCATACTATTTCCTAAAGAGCGTGATTGGTTACCAATCTGGCTTCTAAGGGTCCAGACCCTCTTAAATAATAGACGAGAGAGCTTTCTTTCATCCTGTGTTCTTAACAATAGCTGATTAACATCAAGCCCTATAAGAAGCCAACATGGAAACTACCAATGAAGGCCAGATGCCTCATTCATTCATAATTAACACAAGTCTCTGGCGATTGTAAAAATGAGAGAGTATAATAAAATGATCGTGTCTATTCTCAGTCAGCAGCCCAAGGTCCCTTATGTGCAATGTGTCCTACCAGGGTCTAGGGCTCCTTTAGTGCTCTGCATGTACACATCAAGGTAGTTTGTTTGAGTATAAACTTTGGGACAATAACGTAGTCCTAACTCTCAAGATGTTTCTGAGTTAAGGTCGTAGGTTTTCAGACATTCAAAGACACATTTGACCTAACAGTAGTCTTGCAGGCCTACTTTATGGTAAAATTTAAATCATTCACTGACTATCATCTTCCGAGCTGCAGGAGGACAGATGAACTAACAACCAACAGCTAGCAATGCTGGCTCTTGCTAAATATTTAATGAGTTATGAAGGCCAGAGCTGAACCCAATAAATGAGCAGACTATTTGGTAATGTATTGGGTCCTCCAGAAGGGAGGTTAGAGGCCATGCTGAAATAGTATTAAACCAAAGGAAAAGATTTGCCCTGCCAAGAGCCTTTCACTGCCTCAGTCTACCAGTGTCTCCTGGAATTTTCTTTCAGTGCCTGTAAGGATTCACTTCAGCTGGGAACCAATCAGCAATTCTTATTGGGCAATGCATGAATGCATCACACTGTCAATACATGGGAGTTTTCTATGCCCGTGACCATTCCACATAGATTGCCGCATCTAACTCCGCAATAACTATTTGAAACAGGCATTATAGTCCCTATTTCAAATAGGTGAAGCTGGAGCTGAGAAAAACCATGCAAATTTTTTTCAGTGAAGACTCTGAACCTAGGATTTAAGAATTTGAAGACTGATGTGGGATTCCCCTCTGTATAATATGAATATCATTGGTTAATAAAGGAACTATTTGGCCCTATAGCAGAGCTATAGGGGAATAGAGCTTGGTGGGGGAAACTAAATGAAATGCTGGAAGGAAGAAGGGAGGAGTCAGAAAGAAGCCATGTAGCCACCAGAGACAGACGCTGGAACTTTAGCCAGTAAACCACAGCCATGTGGCGATACACAGATTAATAAAAATGGGTTAAATTAATATGTAAGACTTAGCCAATAAGAAGGTAGAGCTAATGAGACAAGCAGTGATTTAAATAATATATTTTTATTATTTTATATATTTTATATATATTATTTTATGTATATTCTATATATATTATTTAATAATATAGTTTCTGTGTAGTTATTTCAGTTCTGGGTAGCGAAAACCAATAAGCGACCCTCTCCTCCTACAAAAGACTGTGTTCTTTCCATAGATCTCTCTTGTGTTTCCCAAACCTCTGGGTAATCATCAACACTTAAAAGAGCTTTAAAAATTGTATTGAATGATGTGAGTGATATATGCTTTTAGAAATAATAATTTTCTCTGAAGAAGAAATGGGATAAAAGTCTTAGAAATGCAATCTGACATAGCAGCTGTTAATGGTTGGGATTTTATGCAGCCATTGTTAATTTTATCCTTGGCCCCTCGAAGAGTGGAGTGGAGAATGCCCCTCTAAGTGCCCCATTTAATTTATAGTTTGCCCACAGAAGGATGGGATTTAAGTGCATATCACCAGGTATGCCTCTGTTGCAATTAATCAATTTAAAATACAAACAACAGCTAACCTTGGGGTTCAATTTTTTCCGTAACATCCCTTATCTGTTAGACCAGGCTCGTCCTGCCAGCTGGGAACTCCCAAACACTGGCTGGCAGACTATTTTGATTTTTTACTAGCTCTGGAATCCTAATTGTGTCAGTGCCATTAGAAAGAGCAAATACAGCTACTTAAAGTAAGTGACCTGATAAAAATCTCTGGTTCCTCCTCTGGATGCAGTAGGTGGAGCTGAGGTCTTCCTGTTTTGTTATTGTCCATCAGAGGAAAATCGTCTCCGCAGAACACAGATCCCTCAGCCAGTGACCCTGGAGGAACTGGGCTGCCATCCCTTGCTCCACAGTAAGAAAGGGAGCTGAGTCCTTGTCCTGGGAGTGTAAAGTCAGATTACTAAACTTCTGTGTTCACTGGTAAGTTCTCTGCTGAATGAATTATTGAGTGCTTCCCTCGGAAGCCTCTAACATAGTGCGAACTAATGCTTTGGAAGGTTTATCTGCCAAGTATTGGCATTTTTCACAAGCTGAAACTAAAAGCAAATCATTCTGAAAATTCGACTAACTTAGGGTTTGCACATCATCAGTTTGCTGTTGCTGTGTTTCCTGCTCTATTCTGTGCATTGGATTAAAATTTCTTGATTTTTATACTACTTCTAGATCTTTTCTGCTATTCCTAAGTCCGCAAGTATTAATATCAAGAGTTTGAGAATCACTTCTACACAGCCAGTTTAATTCCATAGGTCTTACGATTAGAAAAACTGAATCCTGATAGGTCATTCTTTTCTTAGTCTCTGGTCTCTTGGGGAACTTGACAAAAACCTTGTAAGGGGCAGAATTTGTGATGTGTGGTGGGTGGGTGAGGGTTAGGCTTGAGGAAGTGACTGTTGACTGTTAAGAGGATAAAGATACCAGAACATATTCTTGCTCCAACCCGGGTCTCAGCAGCTCCTGCTCCGTGTTATGCTCTCTGCTAGCCTGCTCTATGTTAGGCTATGGGTGCCTGGAGCCACCCCTCCTTACCCATCTGAATCTACTACAACTGATAACACTTTAAATCATACAACCCCTTTAGAGATGTGCTCTCATTGGACAGCCAGGGCCTGTCATTATTCTGAGAAATGTGCACACACTCAAGAGGAATGTGCGGGTGTCTGCCTTCATGAATAAGGATAACTGCTTAGAAACTACACAAGTGAGTCACTCACGCTGGTTAGTCAGCTGATCTAGCGCTGAAAGCAGTTACAGGATAATTTCCTGAAACAATCAATCAGGCCTTCAAGTCCATTTGAAACATACTTTAAAAAGGTAAGACTTTGCCTGGAGGTTCCCAAACGTCCTAGGTTTAAGGTATGGTTCCTGCAGCAGTAATTCCTTCACATCGCCCCCAGGCCTAAGTCCCTCTTATGAAGTAGTCAAGCCCAAATGACTCAGTGCGCATATTCTAACCACTGAAGTTGGTTGTACGAATAATAAAGCAATTAGAAGAAAATAGCATTTTCGCTTCACTCCTTTTTATTAATTAAGTTTATTCATTTATTTTATATCTTAACTATAGTCCCCCTCCCTCCTCTCATTCCATTCCCTCCCCTCCCCTACACCTTCCCCCATCCAATCCTCTGTTTCTATTCAGAAAGGGGTACTCTTAATTGTGATCAGTAATGGGTCTATGGGACTGCTGTGCCCTGTGTAAATTCTCAAAGCTCAGAATCAGCGAAGACACGACATCCTCATTTGTTGTTGTGCCTCGATTTTGCCGCCTTTTACCATAGAAGCTGCTGAACAGCTGCTTTGCAAAACTGCACGAGGTATTATTGAATGGAACACAGCCCTGACTCTTGTTAAAAAAGTGTGACGTGACCCAGGCTCAAGCCAGTATTTCAGCACTCTGGAGCTTGATTTAGGAGATTGTCAGAAGCCCAAGGCCAGCCTGGGTTACATTGTGAGTCCTGGCTAGACTAAGCTAAAGTAGGAAACCTTGTCTTAAAGAAAAAAATTCCACCCACACCTGAGACAGCTTAAATAAGATTCAAACTGTTGAGTATCGCTGCATTCTCTATGATATTCTTAAATAACTCAAGGCTCATTGGTGTTTGGGAAGGAGAACCCCCACACTCAAATATTCTCTCAAAACTGGAGGTGAACACTCAATCTAACCTCATCTAATTAATTATTTGTGTTTTCCTTCCTTGATGTAGAGGACACAGTACAAAATGCATAGGGAAATGCAGTGGCTTCTGACCTTGCTGTTAAACATTAACGACCTTTGTACAACCAATAGTGATTTCCCAACTCACTTGGAAATCTGATGCAGTTTAATTGTTTTGTTATTTTTGTTAAATTCCCATTACCCCAGTAACATCAACTTAGCAAATTCGCTACAAACCCTTAGTTTGTGTGACTTATTTCTCCCATAGCCAGGTTAACCTCGACAAGGCTCTCTTCGTGGCATTGTTTCTTTTAAAACCTGCAACTAATAATTCAATTTACTGAATAGTCTAGAGAGTAATAATACTTTAAATGCTATGTTTGCATCAAGATGTAAAATAGCACCACAGTAACGTTAGTGTGCTAGTTCCATTAATAAAATGTCTTACTGTGTTCTTACCAGTGCTGGAATTACAGGCATATGGCAACATACGTGTTTGACAGCAGTTACTTTCTTCTGGGCCCTGGTACACCCCCAAGAATTAAGCGCTGCTTGTACATTGGTTGTGATTTGTACAGTACCTTAGGCTGGGTATACAGCTAGCTTCATATTAGAGATGAGAAAAAGGAGACACAGAAATATTAAACTATCTTCCTATCTTGATAACTACCCAACTCTAAAATTCAAACCATGGTCTCCAATTTGTAACTTCCTAAATAGAGTCACCAAGGAAATGTACTGTTCAGGATTGCTGAGTAAATTGGGTTCACACTGGGTTAGAGAGACAGACTGCTGGAGAGAGGGGTTCTACACACTGCATAATTGATGAAAGGTGATTGATTATAAGTCATCAATCTCCGACTCAGGATATTAACTTCCAATAAATATTTGCTCTGCTGATTTTTTTAATTGAAAAGCATACAAGACGATTAATGTATTCATTCTACCCAACCAAAAAAAAAAATCAGCCCATTGCCAAATATTTAGCACAAGCATCATGCTGGGAACTGAGACATGTACAATCAAAGAAATTACCGTACTTTGGGGAAGCATAGCCTTGTGCAGAAAAAAGACCCACAGACGTGATCAACATAATCAATAAAAAAATGTAATATGTCCTTGTGGGTGCATATGTAGCTTCCCTAGGAATAAAGATAGTGTTGGTTCACCATGTAGTCAGAAAGACACATACGCCTCATGGGACCATTGCCATCTCTGAGCTGCTTCCTGACTCTAGAGCCTTTTGCTCCCTCCTCTGACTGCTGAAGTACTAGGCACCCCGCTGTCAGTATCCTGCCACTGCAGCATCAGATAAGCTCTCCTCTTTCCTGCTCGCACTACAATTTAAAGATAAAACATCTTGGTGCTTTACAAAATATTGAGTTTGTTTTTTGGTTTTGGTTTTTTGAGACAGGATTTCTCTGTAGCTTTGGAACCTGTCCTGGAACTAGCTCTTATAGACCAGGCTGGTCTCGAACTCATAGAGATCCGTCTGCCTCTGTCTCTGCCTCCATGCTTAAAGGCATGCGCCACCACTGCCCAGTTTGAGATTCTTGCTCTTCAAGTTTGACTTTCCTGCTAAACCAATTACTGTTCTAGACAAAGCTTCAATAAAAACCTAAAATACCAGTGTCACCAACAAAGAAACCACTCAGTGGGTGTTTGATACCTGAATTAATCAAAGAATAAACTCCAGAATCTAGTCTAAGATCCTCGAGGGCATCTGATTCCAGCCTCTACATGAACTATTCATCTCCTACTTAGACTGTCTTCAAAACTTTGTCATCTAGACTTCACTTAGGTAAAGCCTATCTCAGAGCCTGAACTATTGGTAAATGTGTATATTGAACTAGTTACCTTTTCTGTTGCATCACTAACCATTATTCTAATCCTTTATCCCACGAGATAAGAGCAAATGTTTACAGTGCTGTCTCAAACCCTCCAGTTAAGAGTCACTACGTGCCAGGTGGTGGTGGCGCACACCTTTAATTCCAGCACTCAGGAAGTAGAGGAAGGCAGATCTCTGGGAGTTTAAGGTCTACAGAGAGAGTTCCAGAACAGTCAGTGCTACACAGAGAAACCCTGTCTGAAATAAACAAGAAAGAGTCACTTTGCACATGCTCTTTTGCAAAGTGAACCTGGTTATCAATTCCTTGTCCGAAGACTCCATTGAGCAGAGCCAGTCCTTGGTTTCCTCCCTTTACCTCTATTAACAATAAAATCATTCTATTCCTATTTCCTTCCGTCAGCAATGTTATACATGAAACAACAACACACTAGGCAAGGATATAGACCAGGTCTCTTGAGCCCTACTAATTAGCCTTTTTTTCTTTCTTCTACTGCCATGCTCCCCCTGCTGACCTTCCTTTCAGTGAAGCCACCAGGGGAGTTACCTCCCCTCTTTCTTAAGCCAGCTCTTACAAAGGGCTCCTCACCTCCTCAGAGAGTAAAATGCAGCCTGTGTTGCTTCCAGTTGGCCTGCTCACACTCTTCCTACAGCCAGTATAATTCTGTACATGGCTTTCAACATCAATTTTTATATGCAATTTCCTCCTTTTTCCCTAGAGTCATTTTTTCATAAAACTAGTTACTTTTCGTTGGATGACTATTAAGTCCCATTAGAAAAATAAACATTATGCCCTGTGTCACAATGAGGAACCTGGTGGCCAAAGGAGATGAGCAGTTTTCCCATGTCACCAAACTGACGGAACAGGGACCCGACACAGATGCATCTCGATGCAGCACCCAAGCTCCGGCTCCCTCTCTACATGTCGGGTCACAGCTCACCTCTGGCATCCAGGAAGATGGAAAATCATAGGTTTGCTACTCTGCAGTATCCATTGTGGTCTAAAGTTTGCCTCTTCTGAGAGGACGCCTCTCGACTTCCCTGGTAATTCATAGCCACCTTTACAGGTGAATGGGTGGCTTTTGAGTCAAGAGATAGTTTTGTATCCATTACACCGAAGCCTCAGTATTTCCCTGGAAAGACTACACAGCAGAAAATAAAGCTGCCTCAGCCTCCATGGCTGAACTGTTTCTCTTGGATTTCCAGTCCTACCCACACAAACGATGCACACCCAGTTCTGTGGACAGTTCATGTGGTAAACAAGAAAATAGAAAAGGTTCAGGGAAACCTCATGACCGGCGACTTTCTTGTGCTTGGGGGGTAGGGTTTGGGCGCATGTGTTACAGTGAATGCCTAACGTGTACGAAACCAAGGACCACAAAAACAGGGTATGGTGGCTGCACATGCCTGCCAACCCAGCCCTCAGGAGGTGGAGGCAGGAGGATGAGAAATTCAAAGTCATCCTTGGCTACATGAGTTTGAGGCCTAATTTGTAAGACCCTGTCTCAAATATATATATATATATATATATATATATATATATATATATATATATATACATAAACTTGAGATAAAATTACCCCAGAAACATATTAGGAAACCATGTCTAATATTTGATTTAGTGTATGCTGAATGTGTATCTCTTGGCCAGAAATTCAGAGAAATTACAGAACTTTGGAAATAGCTTACATTATTGAGCATTTACTATGTGCCTATTTCTCAGACACTTGATAAAACATATTAGCTCATTTGATCCTCAGAAAACAGTATAAAGGAGCTATTAGATTTTCTGTTTACGCGATGCCCAGAGGCACTAAATGATTCAGATCACACAATTTTAACCGGCAGAGCTGGTTGCTTACCCAGCATGCTATAAGGCCTCACAGAGTTCTTACAAGTCCATACTATTAACACATGGCCCGAAATTCTCAAGCCTGCACCAATGCTGACAGTGCGGTGTGCTCCACAAAAGAGAACCCTATCCTGCCTTCCACTCAGATCTTCCCTACAGCCACTTCCTCTCTTCCATTGGTGACTAGTGGTGAATCCAATTCCAGCAGCACTGGTGTGGCCTTGGCAGAATGCCAGGAGAGAGCCCAGAAGGGCAGGGCTGTGGCACCTGTGATGGCCACAAGTGTCTGGGTGTCTAGTCCCAACCCCACCCTACCAGCTGCTGCGCAGTTTTCTCTGATGTCCCCAAACCAATCGGTGTGTCAGTGTTAATGTAATTTAAAAAAAAAAAAAAAAGAGCGGGTTTTACAAGGTCATCTTGTCCTGTCTGCTGCTCCAGCATGCTCTGGGATTGGAGCCGGAGGATGGATACAAGCCAGTTCAGAATGCAAGACTCTGCCCACCCACCAGAGGGTCTGGTTTCAGCCGCTCTGCCAGAAGCTACAATTGCATTAAAGACCACGAGTGAGTGGACTGAGCGCCAGCTCTGGCCAAGGGGTGGGGACATAACCCAGCACAGGGGTTAACCCGATGACCTGTACATTTTCTCACATTCACACAGCACAGATAGTCTACAGAGGACTCAAACTGAGAAAATCTCTTAATCTTCCAAATTCTTTTCCTGGTTTGTTGAGTAGCCAAGGCTTAGGGTGGGGCTTTTGTGAATAAAACTGCTCTCCTTCGTTTTTCCCTCCACCGAGGAACATGGCGAAGCGAGTGGCCATCGTGGGAGCCGGGGTCAGTGGCCTGGCCTCCATCAAGTGCTGCCTGGAGGAGGGACTGGAGCCCACCTGCTTCGAGAGGAGCGATGACCTGGGAGGACTTTGGAGATTCACCGTAAGTAGGGGGTTCACGGGCTTTTATCTGTCTATTGGTGGGTGGCTTGAAAAGATTGGAAGTGTCTGCCAAATGGAGAGCCCCTGAAATTGTGAATGGTATAAAGAGATACAAGAGACACCAGGCCGAGTTCTACCCTACAGAGTCTAGACGGGGGTGCCAGCCGCCTTCTCACTGTTTAAGGTGAGGAGGAAGAAATACCCCCGAGAAGCCCACAAAGTGGAGAGGAAAAAGCAATGCCTGAGTCTGACCTGGAAAGCATAGGGTAGGAGTGCGGACGGGGAAGGGGGGGGGGGGGTGGGGGGGTGTTGGGGTCCGAGGGGGTGAGGTGGGTGGTCTGCACCGAATTGAGGCTGCAGAAAAACTGAGCCTCCTCTGCTTGCATAGTTTCCCGATCCCACTTCATCTGTGACACAGGGTTCAGTGAAGCAGGAGTTCCATAACCAAGATCCCGCTGCCTGGCCAAAGGTCATCCACTCTGTGAACTAACAGTAGAGAATGGGAATCTGGGATCTAAACTAATCCGGGTGCTAGTGTGAACGAGTCGACAGTCTGGAAAGCCCACCCGTGGCTGGCCTGGAGCCCTCGGGCGGGGAAGGGGGTCACAACTGCCCTGCTTTGGGGTCAATGAAAACCCAGAGCCAAAAAAGGCAGTATTCTTTGGGTTCCAGCATTCTGCCAGGGAAGCATTTTGTTTTGTTTTGTTTTTAACGCTCCACAGCTTCTAGGTGAAAGTGAAAACATTTCCCACGAAATTTAGGCAAGTTGTCAGGAGCTGGGAAAACCGAGTGAGTGTCAGATAGCCTGGCTTCGGATTCCCTGGGAAACATTCCCCATTATAGGAGCCAGGGACTTGGAACTGAAAGAAAGTAATTCTTTCCTAAATCAGAGAGCAAAACTTCAGAGAAGCCAGTGCTGCCTGTTTAGGTAGAGTCCTCCAGTGCCGGCGGGAGTGACTAGCATAAAAACCCGTCAGTCTTAAGATGTGCCTGGCTACCAGATATGATCTTTGATGTACACTCTGATAAAGAAGCACTCCCATCCCCATGGCTTAAATTGCTCATGTTCTGAAAGGAGAGCGAACCCTCTCCTGCTGAACCTCCTTGTCCTTGTTCATTGTAGGCATTACTAATCAAACAGTTGACCTTTCCGTAATGACCGTCAGTATGCCAGATAAGTACCTCTGACCAGTAAATGTTGAGAACTGGCTTGAAAAAATAAAATTTTTCAATCAAATTCAGAGTTATTCAGCTAAGGTAAATTTCAGTCAAAATAAAAAGTGAGTCCAAAGATCAAAAGCTGTACTTAGACCTTTGAGACACTAGATAGACAAAAATCTTCAGGGAGGTCATGTAACTATTAACCCTAAAATTTATTTCCCTAAGAATCAAGAGAAATTAGTCTCGATCCAGTTGTGCCCCACTGTGAGCCGGTCAAACATCTACCCAAAGAGCACGGTAGGGGGGTGCAAAAATGAAAAGGATTCCCCTCTCCAGAGAACTGTTGGCAGAAGAAAGAAGGCGGAAAGATCTCACAAGTCACAGGCACTGCTGTAGGTGTTGAAATGAGAGCAGAATCACAGCCACTGCTGGGAAACCAGAAAAGCCATGTAGAATGAACAGTCTGTGGCGGGTGTCAAAGGAGTCCAACAAACAAAAGAGAGCATGCTCAGAAAAGAAAGGTGATTTAATGGTGCGTGTAGTACACGTAAGAGGAGTAATAGAAGGGAAAAGAGTGGATGAACGTCTGGCCAACTTTAACAGCGTGCAGGTCAGAAAAACTTAGGAAATTCTTTGCTGCTGCTGTTATTGTTGTATTTGAATATACGCATGACAGGAAGGCTCAAAGATGATTGTAGCTGAAGACTGAAAGTCCCAAAACAACAGGAAGTGTTTGAATATTCTAGTCCAAACTGAGAAACCACACTGACAGGAAAAGAAAGGAGTGGGATTACAGGTACAAGAAAGGGAGCTAGTCCAGGCAAGGCAAAGACATAAGTTGTACTCTTTCCTCCAAAGACTGGAGGACCGGGAGTGGGAGCACAGGGGAGTGCACACAGGAGAGGGAGCGCAGTCAGTCATGCTGAAAGGTAAGAAGATGAAGGAGCACTCATATCAGAGGCCTCCATTCTTGCTGGAAAATGCAGCAGTTTGTGGGGGGAGGAGGGTGTAGGGTGGTAAAGGGAATTAGAGAAAAAGAAAACGAAGACAGTCATTTGTGGGAGAGGGCTGGGAGCGAGCTCAGTGGGTAAAGTGCTTGCTGCACAACCATGAAAACCTGAGTTTAGATCCCCAGGAGCCATGGAAAAAGCTGGCGTGGCAGCTCAAGCCTATAATCCTAGGACTATCAAGCAAAGACAGACAAGAGGACCTTAGTGGCTTGCTGGTCAGCCAGCCTAGCCAATCTGTGAGCTCTGTGTTCAGTGAGAGACCCCGCCTCAAAATGTAAATAAATAAATAAATAGGAAAGTAATAGAGGAATATACCAAATCCCAAGCATGTCCTCCACAGGCATAGCATACACACACACACACACACACACACACACATGCACGCACAAGTACGCGTGCACACACACACACACACACACACAGAAATATAATAAGCCATCAGAAAAAAAGACTAACCAGATTATCTAGCATTAAAATGGCAACCAGATACCAAGATATTTCATCTCTTTGACTTCATTTATAAAATGAAAGTAAGTTTGAAAAACAGATTAATGCTTAATTTCCAAAGGTTGGAGTTAGGGATAACCTTCCCCATCATCTAGCATCTCTCTTTATATACAGCAACCTGGAGGCACCTCTGCAATACCTTGATCGTCCCTCCACTAGGCAACCTCGAAGGTGTCTTCCAGCTCCAGAGTGCTATGAGTTCCCTGAGATAGTCATTCCCTCTCCTTCCCCAACACACACACCACCAACTAACACCATCAACAGCAAAGATTAGCCCAAAATCATCTTGGGATTCGAAGAAAGGCACCCCATTCAACATCAAAGAACCCAGACAGCTTCCATTCCCAAATAGGAAAAGAGCACAAATCTAAAGATCATGAATTAATTCATTTAATTGGTCACTATCAGGATCGTGATTCTGGTCCTCTTAGCTACCACAGCAGACAAAGGTTACAGTGAAAAGGTACAGGCATCCTAGACTGACGCAGGAACCAATGGACTCACTAATTAAAAAAATAAAAAGCAACACGTTGGTAGAGACTAATTCTGACTGCCACTAAGGTGGACAGAAAACATGAATACGGAAACACCTTTGTCACAGTGAGCCTCTCTGGCAGCTGAGGGGCTCACACCACAAGCACTATTGGTTGATGCTCTCAGTTATAAAATCGTAGTTGGGGTTGGAACTCAGTTGCTAGAAGACAGGGCACGTGAAGCCCTAGGTTCAGTCCCCAGAAACCAGCAAAGTAGTCCACGCCTGCGACTTCAACACTACTAGAGGTGTTCACTTCAACACTACTAGAGGTAGTTCAACCTACTAGAGGTAGGAAGATCAGAAGAAAGTTCAAGGTCATCTTCAGCTAGGTAGTAAGGAGCCAACCTGGACTACTTCTCACCCTGCCTCCCAAAACAATAAAATAGCTCAAGGAAAAGAAAGTGAGGGTTTGTCTTGCCACTAATAATGAATATTGCTTGTAGGAGAAAACTTGGGAAGCAGTCTTTGAGCAAACTACACCAGCATTGCCTAGAGAGGATTAACAGTACTGGTTGACACACGCCCTGAGACAGGTTTCAGGGCTTAACCACCATCCCGAGGATGATACCTTCCTGTCAGTACATCAAGATCTTCACACGCATCCTTTCATTTATCCAGCAAGCTTTTATTGATAGCCTACTATGAGCTTCTCCACTTTTTGTTTTCAATAGGGGGGAAGGTAAAACATAAATGTAGGTCATTCCTCTGTGAGTTGCTGAGGAAGTGTTCCTCAGCTGTTGCTTCCTAAGACTTGGTTAACTTAATTCCTACAATGTATTAGCAAGTGTGCGTGTATGTGCTTGAGAGTCAGAGCACACCTTTATGGATCCACTTTTACATGGGTTCTGGGAACCAGACTCAGGTCGCCAAACTTGTGTGGTGCCATCTCACTGGTCCTAAAACTTTCTTTAGAAGTCTTAATTCTAAAACTTCAGTAGTCTTGGTGGATTTCATTTCATTCGTGTATTCTAATAACATTTATTGAATTTCTGTTATCCATACTGGAGTACGCTAGACAAACCTCTCCCCCAGCCGAGCTTAGATTCTTGGACTACACAGGTTTTCTCAAAGGTTTCTACAGCTCCCCACAGCTGTGCCTGTCCTTCAGAGAGAGTGACTGTCACCAGGAAGCGATGTGGGAAAGGGTGATGCATTCTCTCACTTTTACTGCTACATTTCAGTTGTTAGGAATCTTATGACCATCTTTTTCTTTTTTAATTTTAATTAAAATTTTAGCAGAGAATAAAAGTAAAGGAATGTATAGAATTCTCAAAGAGTTAATAAAAATATTATTTCAAATGAATTTCTTTATTTTTTACTTTATACTTTGAGGGAATTTTTCTCATTTTCATTGTACTTTAAGAATTTCATACAATATGTTCTGATCATATTCACCCTTCTCAATTCCTTCCAGATCTACTCCCCCTGTAACACCCACATTTATATTCTCTTATTTTAACAATCAAGTCCAATTTGTGCCGTCCATATACTCCTGCATGTGTGACCTTCTGCTTTACCGTGGTCAACCTACCAAGGGTTATACCTGAGTCTCTCTCTCTCAATAGCTCCTCTCCTAGGGACTGGGCTTCATTCCCACCTTTCCTTTTCATGCTGGGACTCTTCTGGCTTGAGTTAGAGTAGGCTCTTCACATGTCGTCATAACACCTGGGAATTCATAAATGCAACCGCCTTTTTGTGTCTTGAAAACACTAGTCTGGCTTTTACAATATTTCCACCCTTTCTTCCACAATGATCCCTGAAAACTGGGAAGAGGGAATGTGATATAGA